GCTAAACTGCAGAATGGCTGGCAGCTGAGGGAGTCTGAGGAGAGATGGGCCAATGACTCTCTCTTCTCTCAGGCCGATGACTTCTCACCTCTTTCGCTAGCACCCAGAAAACACATACATTTGGCTCCCATCATGCAACACTCCACTCATCATTAAACAGGCTCAACAGTTCTTCCTGATTCCTCACTAAAAACAAAGACAAAATGAAAAAGCAAACCAACCTTTTATTTAGAACATAAGAGACACCAATGTTGGATCAGGCCAAAGGCCCATCCTGTCCAACACTCTGTGTCACACAGTGGCCAGAAATCCCAGTGCCATCAGGAGGTCCACCAGTGGGGCCAGGACATTAGAAGCCCTCCCACGGTTGACCCCCCCCCCAAGCACCAAGAAGACAGAGCATCACTTGCCCCGGAGCCCCTATCTATACCTTGTGGCTAATAGCCACTGATGGACCTCTGCTCCATATGCTTATCTAATTCCCTTTTGAAGCTGTCCATGCTTGTAGCCACCACCACCTCCTGTGGCAGTGAATTCCATGTGTTAATCACTCTTTGGGTGAAGAAGTACTTCCTTTTATCCGTTCTAACCCGACCGCTCAGCAATTTCATGGAGTGCCCACAAGTTCTTGTATTGTGAGAAAGGGAGAAAAGTACCTCTTTCTCTACCTGCTCTTTCCCATGCATAATTTACTTTTTTTCTTTACAATTTTATGCTTAGGAATTATTTTTAATTGAAATGCAGATTCACATTCTTTGCTTGGGGGGGGGAGTTCTTTGATGTTTTCCCCAAATGAACTCAATCTCTCGCAATAAGGAAACAAATGCCTTTAGCTCAGGTAATCCTACCGTTATGGCTCTGTGATTTATTGGCACAACCTGAGTTAACAACCAGCAGTGCACAGGTCCTGTGAGGTTTCCCATGTCGTCTACATTAGCTCATGGGTTAGTAGGCGACCACCTATCTAACAAATTTCCAGACACCTGCAGACCTGCCCAGCTGTGTAAATTGCTTTGCAATCAACCCGCTAAGGCAGGCAGAAGGAGGAATCCCGTCAACACTGCTAGATTTTTACTAGCTTATTTTCTTTGGAAAAAATGGCCAGAAGTTTCCTACTACACGGTACACTTTAAAGGTGGTTCATCGCTGTGCCAGAAACTCTGAAAGAATTGTGAAGATACCATACAAAGCTAACCTGGAAGCTTTTTCTATTGGCTGAAACATGCTGGTTTCATTACTTTACCACTTTACACAGCCTTTGCGTTCATATTAACACAGAATACAGACACAGCCAATTCTCAAGAATAGATATGAACCAAATGAGTGTATTTTTGTTTTCTTTGGGACGGATTTGCAAAGGAGGTTGTTCTTTCATTTACATACAACCAAATTAGTTTTGCACATCTGAACGTTCCCCACTTGAAAACCATGTAACATTCTTTCTCCTTCAAAAAGTAGGTTTCCAGGGTTGTCTCCACACCAAGGATTTTCCACATTTCAGCCACCTGACTGGTGCCCTTCTGTTTTTTTCTTCATGTTTCCACATGACATCATTCTCTATGCACAGATTATTAACAATTTGTTCTTTCTAAAATAAAAAAAATCTGATTTATTTTAGACATGTTTAAAAATGGTAGTTCCTGGGAAAATCCACAGGAGCAGTATTTTGCCTCTGTAGGAGAAACGACAATTGCAGTTCTTAGGTGAAGAGCTTGTCAATTTCTTATCAATTACTTTTTTCACTTGTTGATTATTGCAAAGACCCAATCCCTGTCAGCACTTAGGGTAACAGATGAAGATTTGCCCTCTGGAGAGAGGGTAGGGGATTGTTGGAGGCTTTGCAACTAAAATAATTTTTTTTTAAGGTTGTTAGTATTCTGTTATTCTTACCCAGCAATATTCATTCCAAATTTTGAGGAAGAGCTTTCTGCAAATACATGGAGGGTTTTTTACAAGGCTTTTTCCAGGTATTGAATTATTTTTATGCAATGCTGCATTACCCATGCTCCTCAAAAAAAAATTTTTTTTTAAAAGACAGGGTGGGTGGAGAATCTGGCGGGTCTAGTGAGAACACAGCTGGGGGGGCTAGTGAAAACCCAGCTGGGGGGGGGGCTTCAAACTACATCAGATATGGAAGAGAAACCACCACTAAAAATGAAGTGAGAACAGATTAACCTGGGCTGGAATCTCCATTGCAAGGGCAATTTCACCCAGAATCACATCTGCAACCCGACTACCACGGAAAACCACTGGTGTGGAAGCAGCCCAGCTTAATATTCTCTTGGGATATGTAAATTTTCCACATGATTTATTTTTATTTAAATATTTTCAACCCACTTTTCGCAGTGTTCAAAGTTACCTGAAATATAACTATAGTGATTATAGTAAAATACTAAGGTGACCAATGACAATGAACACACAAGTAAAAACTAGGTTATTAAAGTTTAAAAGATACTAGGGAATAACAAACAGATAATAAAGCAACAATAATTTAACCAACAGCCACAGAAAATAGTGCCAAGTCTTCACTCGGCAACTAAATAGGGGCACAGAGGTATTCGACAATCACTAAAGTGGAAAGAATTCAACCACTACTGAAAAGCATTCAAAAGCTTGAGTTAACAGCAATGATTTTGCATCTATTTTTATTTACTTAATTGCACATATTCTAGATTTTATTTTTTATATTATGAGAAGTCACTTTTAACATTTTTATCTTTTAAAATAATTAAGGTTCATTCTCCCCAGAGTCATGCATATTTTGATAAATATTTTTCTGTTCAGATGCTGACACACTATTTGAGCCAGGGATAGCATGGGACTATTCTGGAATAAGTTTCTGAAGATCCAAAGAGTTCTGTAAGGAGCTTTCTATATTTTGTTTTAACAGACTGAGGGGAGTGTCAGATAGTTTCTGAAATCTCATATGACTCAATCATTTTGGAAAAAAGTAAAAAAATCCATCTGATCATACTCAAAAGTAGCTCTTTGGATCTTGGTTCGGAGGCTAGGTTTTTTTTTTTTTAAAGTCACCTAAATTCAAAACTTTTGTTTCTGGGCCTATAAACAATGACTAGTATTTCTAAAATTAAGATCAGAGTTGATGATGACAAAGTACATAAATAGAAAATGCTCCTGTTTGTTCAGGATTATCTTGTGGATATCGATAAGAAGAACTGTCATTCCCAAATATTTGCGCAGACAAAAAAATCTGATCATGAGAATTTAGCAAACAGCATCTAAGCAGGTGCAAGTGCATGGCTGAACTGAAAAGTCCTTGACCACAATGCTCTCAGACTCGGAGAGCCTGTAGACTTCGTATCTGCTGTTTTATTTCATAATGCAGAAATCAGTAAGATATTATACTTGAAATAAAATAGTGTTTTTGCATTTATTATAAATATTAGATTTCCAAAATGTTTGTTTGTATGTACTCAGTCCCTTTCCAACAGATATACAAGTCTGCTAGTTTATGCACAAAAACATGCCAGTCATTTTTCAGTGAAAGGGCCCAACTAAAAACTTTTTAAAAGGTATAGTGTGTTTGTGTGTGATTAAGACAGGGTCAGAGTAAAGATAAATACTTTCCCCTTTGCTATTTGTCTGACTTCACACACATGCACAACACACTAAGCTCCCTGTATTTTTTCTCACAGGCAAACAGAAGTTCAAGCAGCCAATTAAGTTTAGTGTAAGGGAAAAGGGCTAAAACTTGTCTCTCATCTGAACTGGAGGCCCTAAAAGAATGATGGAGGTCTGTTCACAAATCACATTTGGTTTAGCTCAAAGACTTTAAGATGAGTCTGGTTAAAAAGCCCTTGCCATAAATATATAACTTTTAACTTAGAAAAAGTAACCTATTGATCTCAGAATGCAGAGTCAAAGGCTTTCCCATTTCAACAAAGCAACTAGCTCTTTGGCCCATGACTCTCTTACAACCCAGGCAGTGACAGGGGAGCAGGTTAGCCAAGGTATGGCAAAGCATAATACCTGACTAGCTGATTCCCTTGAATGAGAGAAATCCAGTTTGATCTCAGCTAGAAGAAAAACCCTTGAGGTATGACTGCATGTAGAAGCTTTGGCATCAGTGACAGACTGAGAGGAAATACTGCCATTCAAAAGGGCCCCATCTCCAGGTCCCAAAAGAGGGAGGGAAGGAGAAAAATCCCACCCACTCATCCCTGTGCCACGCACAGTGTATCTGGGTGCCTCCTTTGCCACCTGGGGTGAAGCTGGGTCCATCCTTTGTCAAGCAGGGAAAGGCCAGGAAGGGCAGAGCTAGGCACTTTCTTCACCACATGGGGCATGGCCAGGCTGGGTGCATCTTTCACATCCCCATAAAAGCCAAGGGCTGGAGGTAGCAGATTTTAGCCACCACGTGTGGCACCTCAAGTCATCAGCCCACCAAGACTTCCTGGTGCCTTAATGGTCAATCTACCCCAATTTGGTAGATGCTCGCTTGCTTAGCAAGAGAAAGACCATAACAAAGGTATTTGCTTTGTAAGCTATTTAAAAACTTAATTGACACATGGTCTACACAGAGAATAAAATATCAGGTGAAGTGTACAGTTATGGAAGGGATGTGAAAGGAAGGAGAAAACAGTTTTGTTTTTATTTTAATATTCCCAGGATTAAAATCTCCTTGCAAGCAGAGAGCTAGCTAGAGAACCAGACCTGTGCTACAACCTTTTTATGTACTTGCTAGTATTTTTACTGCTAGTGAATTGGTTTTGTTCTTGTAAGAAAACATTCAAAGGCAGCAAATCAGCTGCCATCTGAAGAGGCAAAGCCCATTTGACCATTTTAGGAGATTTTAATCTGATTCTTTGACAGCTATAGGCTGGATCTCAGTTCTAAGCCTTAAAAGAAATGGAAAGGGTATGTAATGTTGAACTATTCAGCAATGAGAGCAATGACCATGTAGCATCTGAGCACAATTGTTCAGCCTCTCAGCACAGATATACAAATACTGTTTTAAACAAATATTTATTGGCATGTACCTGTGAATGCACTTGTATTAGAAATCTCTGTACTGACAGGAGATATGCTGGAAACATCTTCACTGTAAGCTATCAGAATATACTTCTCAATTACACCTATGACCCCAACTGGTTCGTCCCAGGTAACCTCAGCGCTGTAACCATTTATGTTGTGAACTCTTGAGGGTGTTGGCACGCTTTGTGGGACTGCAAAAGGATAAAAGAGAAATAGAGAAAATGGCACTCCTAAGAAGACTATTGCCCCATTCTTCACTTTTAATAGTTGCAGTAAATCAGATTCACCATTAGCATAAATACAATTTATTAGAGTTGTAACTTTCCAGCATTGATTTAATATGACTGCACATCTTGAGCCATTCAGTTTTAGCTATATTTCAAAACCATCAGAACTCCATCTACATAACATTCTTCTTTTGTCTAGTTCAGGTTTTCGAAAAACATTCAATGTATCAACGAGATGAAACATCACTCGCAAAGAAAGGAGGTGGACTGCACAGGTTCCAACAATATAATGATGTTACTAAGAAAGGCCAAATAATTAGATTGTTATTATACAGAGGGATTTGATGCTTCATCTCTAAGATGCCACAAACTATTGCTGAAAGACAATCTAATTCTAAACATATGCAATTTCATCTTTTGAAATCCTCATGTATCAAACTAAAGTTTGAAAAGTAAATCACAGAAACGTAAAAATATTGGGCAAGATTCAGCTCCATTAATATCACTTGGAATTGTTTTGCATCATTGCCAGAAAAATTGGACTAAAGGAAAGTAGCATTCAGAAGCAAAGCTTACACTGCTTGCAAGCATTTCTCTCGTGACTTTTTCTGTGGCCATGAAGATGATTTTAGTGAACTGATAGCCCAAAAACAATATGAGGATTATGTTATTTTAAAAACTTGCAAAGGCTAGGTCATGGAATCACCAAAATCTGAGTAAAAATGTCTTATTTCCAATAACCTTTAACTATTTATTAGATATTGCTGTATCAAGTTAAAAGATCTGGTCAGAAACAGCTTCATCACAGATGACTGCACAAAGGATGCTGAGAAAAGGCCCAAGGAACTCCATGGCAGAATGATGGATGATGGTTTTGCTAGAAATGCATGTGTACTCTAGAGTCCTGGTGATTAGGACTGCTATAGCTTCTCAGCATCAAGAATCCCTCTTTTTATACCCTTATTGCTTAGACTAATTAAACAAAATCATCTTGGGAGGACAGGGGGAAGGACAGGAACTTTGTATAATAGACATGAGAAGGTTACGTTTAAAAATGTTTCAGTGAATGGCTATGGTTCTTCAAGAAAGCAACAATGTACAGCTTCAGGCTGCTGACAATAGTACATTAATATATTGATTTTATTAGTTTTGAAATGTATCACAGGACAAGATAAGGTACTGTACAGCAGATGGTCTTCTCATAGGGGACACAACAAAACCGACTCAAAAATAATTAAATAGTGCAATTATTTTCCAGCCCTTGGGAACATGTAGCTTCTCAGTGCTGCAGTCAGATTGTAAATATAAATTTATGGTCTAACTTACTCTGGTCAGACAATTAGAATAAAAATATGGCTGTATTTGTTCACTTTGGGATGGTAGACCAAATGGTGGCATTAAGTGGGGCATTTGCAAGTCAAAACTCTGCTTTTGGTAAAAAGTGTCAAAAGCAGCTTTTGTGACACAAGGACATTACAGTACCAGTTTGCAACAGGGCTAATTGGAGAAGTCATATTCCAGAGTTATTCTGGCATTTTATATCCACAATTGAGATAATTATTCTAGAGTTTCATCCATCTCCGAATATTGACAGTAGTACAAAAGGAAGTCTCAACAAGAGAAATCAAAAGATTTAGGCTAAAATGTACTATAAAAAGTCATTTCAAAATTTTAAAAATACCATGTTTTCTTCATGAAATCCAAGACAAAGATATGTTGTTCAGGTGAATACTTTATCAAATATGCAGTGTTTCTGTGACTCATTGTTCATCTAGAGCCTAAAAAGTAGTGCTAAATTAAACTAAAATTGGCCCATATCAATATAGATTGCTCTCTTAGCTAGTATACATGTTTACGCCAATCTCTCATCTGTCTACCATCTCATCTGAAAACATTTTAACGTACATTGCAAAAATGTTTACTTGTGTACTATTTTTTAAAATATGACATCATAAAATAATACATCTAGTAAGCAATGCAGTAGAACTAGGAATGATAGACATTTGAAATAGAGCTGTTGTCTGAACAAACTATGTATTAAACGTGTCAAGTTAAAAAAATCAGAACTAGGTATTACAGCAGTAGAAACATAGCACATTTCTCTGTACCAATCTGTTGTGATGTAGCTCCATTTCCTTTACAAAAATGACCTCCTGAACAATTCACTTTTACATTCTTTGCATAATGCCAGGAGTATGGGGCCTTCCTGACTATGGATGGGCACAAACCGCATTTTTGTGGTTTGGTTCAAGGTTTGTGGCTGAACCACAAACCAAATCATGAACCCATATGAACCAGGAGATTGGTTCACGAACTGACCTGAGTTGTATCGGTTCATGAGTAATTTAAAGTTTAAACCCCTGCTTTCTGCTCCCTTGTCAGAATCTAGGGTCAGTTCAAGCCAAATTCCAGGGTCAGAGTCAAAGTTCAGTCCAAAGGTCAGTTACTGAGACAGCAGAGTCCAGCTCAGAACATTATACAGGAAGCAAGGTCCAACAGTCCGAGGTTGTTCACAAATGCAGGGAGGAAGATTCCAGACTCAGAGTCAAGAGCTGGTCCAAGAGTTGCAGGAGCAGAGTTCAGAACTGTGGTCACTGAGTCAAAAGGTTGGTGACTTGTTCCTTCCACATCAGGCAGTGTCCCTTGACTGGCTTTTATAGGCCTCTGCTGGAAGGTCTTACTTGCAGCCAGCTGCTTGGAAGTAACCCTGCAACTACTCATCATCAGCAAGCAGCTGGCATCAGGCCAGGAGATGTGCACTTTCCTGAAGCTTCATTCTAAGCCTCTGTCTCTGGCACTCAAATGGTGTGGGTGAAACTGGAGGGCTGGTAACAACCACCTGGGTTTCCTCTGTTGGAACAGGGCTGGAAGGTGCTAGTGGCTCTGCATCAGCTGTTGGCTGTGAATACTGACAATCCTGCAGCTCATCTTCTTGCTTGCCGGTTTCTGCTGGTTCAGTGCTGATTTCCTAAGGCCCTTCTTCTCCTGAGGAGTCCTCACTGTTTCTGAGTCCTGGTTGACCCATGACATCCCTGCAGCTGTTCACAGGGAGCAGAAAACAGGAGTTTCCAAACAACTGATTTTTGGGACCACCGCTCAGCTGTTTAGTTTAAATGGCTCCAAACCATTTAAACCCTGCTTTCTGTTCCGGCAGCAGGACCACCTCTCAGCTGTTTGGTTTAAATGGCTCCAAACCATTTAAACCTTGCTTTCTGTTCCCTGCAACTTTTTGTGGGGAGCAGAAATCAGGGGGTTAAATGGCTGGGAGCCATTTAAACCCTTGCTTTCTGCTGCCCACAAAAAGACACAGGGAACAGAAATCAGGTATTTTCACAGTTGAGTGATGAGGATCACCACTCAGCGGTTTGGTTTAAATGGCTCAGATCCATTTAAACCCTGCTTTCTGTTCTCTGTGAAACCCCTGCTTTCTGCTCCCCATGGTTTTTAAATCCTGGCAGGGATTTCAAAACAGAGAAACCCCTGCAGGGTTTCCAAAAAGCTGAGTGGCTCCCCACCACTAAGCTGTTTTTCATGAAGAGCAGAAAGCAGGGTAACCCCCTGCTTTTTGCTCTTTGTGAGCAGCCATGAACCACAATAAACTGCACCAAAATTCGTGGAAGTCCATGGTAGTTCTTCAGTTTGTGAGCATCACTTCAGAAACCCCAGAACGACCAAAATTCATGATTAACTTTAGTTCATCAGCAGGTTCGTGCCCATCCCAATTCCTTACCTCCTCAGGCAGGCCATTCCACAGGGTGGGGACCACTATAGAGAAGGGATGTGTACAGGCCGTTGTTGATCTTTCCTATGTGTAGAATGGCACCTTCAGAAGGTTCTTTTCAGATGACTGAAGTTGCTGCAGTGGTGGAGAAGCGATCTTGCAGACGTGAGGGTTCAAGGCTATGAAGGGCTTGCTTTCTGACAGCCAATACCTTTGATTGAGCTTGGTAACTGACGGGCTGCCAATGAAGTGACTGCAGAATGGGTGTAATATCTGACACAATGTTATGTGGATATGCCTACTGAAAGTAAGGAATACTTACCAGGTTGATCTATTGTTTCCTTTTTGTTTAAAAACATTTATATGAAATCTATTCCCTAAAGACTTAAGAACTGTGGCATTTTTGTGCCAAATAAACATAGCTTATGGTTGAACCTTAAATATCTCTTTCAGTGGGATTTACTTCCAAATAAATTCTCTTAGGAATGATGTCTTGGTGGTTTTTGTTTGTTTGGTACTAGCAACTTAAACATTTGATATGGAAACAAAACATGGGAACATCAGTTACCTGATTCCCTCGTGCGGCCACGATTCCAGGCACTGGACACAGATCCTCCTTTGTTAGAAGCAATTACCCGATAAAGATATTCTTAAGGGCAAGAGAGACAGATAGAGGCTAAATGTGAGAATACATTATTGCAAGGTGAACTAAAACAATACAACTGTTCATATAAGGAGCCAATGTGGTACCTGTAAATGGCTGTAGACCACTATCATAAGCACTCTGCTCTTTTCCTTGGTACACTAGGATGGAGTCATTTCCCCGGCAGTTAACAGCACTGTCAGTTGATAGGCATCCGTCCAGATTGACTCTGACAGCACTGCTGGACACAGATGCCAAGTTAACGACAGCACCTCGTGTAAATTTAACATCCTTCATGCAGCCACCAAAACCTAGCAAATAGTAAGGGATTAGTATCACATAAAAGGCTTCGGTTGTTAATTAAGAATCATGTTTTGCTTCTCACAGTGCTACATCTCAGTGATAAAGAAAGCTGAATGTAAATGTTAAACTTCAAATTATGTTTGAGAAATGATTTTTAAAATGATACTTAAACTGAGATGGAACAATCACTGTTGAATTTCTATCATTCTGAAACGTACATGGATTATTCAACAGTCAGCCTACACGGATAAACTTTTTTCCCCTCTTCTCACTACCATATGTTCTAACAGAACAACATAAAACAGGTGCAAAACACTGATTTGGAGAAACGAACCCCCTAATATTTCACTGTTATCTCATAAATTCATATCATATCTTGATCAAAAATACAGAGGTAAACTGGAATATAATTTTAAACAGTGATTTGAAAAAATATCATTTAATGGTTATTATCACAAAGTATTATGTACTCTAAATGTAGTATTGCAACCATAATATAAACATCAGCAGAGCAGTACTAATTTGCCATGTCTTGTTTTTAAAATGAGTTGAACTTGAAGAAAAGGGAGTTCTGTGTTTTCATTCCATCATAACATTGCACCTAAATAAATTTTACACACAAATGAGTGTAACAAACTTTTGTTTATTACAGCTGCTTTTTTGTTATGGAACAGCCACTTTGTGAGGGGAAAGTTTTCAGTGGAGAAGGATGCAACAACAACAACAAACAGGAGGATTGGATAATCATATGGAGCAGAGGTCCATCAATGACTATCACCCACAATGTATAGGTGGAACAAGGAGCTGCGGTGGCTCAAGTGGTTAAGACACTGAACCGCATCAGCAGTTCGAGACCCGGGTGCCGCATGATGGAGTGAGCTCCCATCTCTAGTTCTAGCTCCTGCCAACCTAGCAGTTCGAAAGCAAGAAATTGCAAGTAGGTAAATAGGTACCACTTCGGTGGGAAGGAAACAGCATTCCGTGCATCTGGGTGTCTAGTCATGCCGGCCATATGACCACGGAAATATCTTCAGACAGCGCTGGCTCTTCGGCTTTGAAACGGAGATGAGCACCGCAACCCTAGAGTTGGATTTGACTGGCTTTCGAGCACGGGAACCTTTACCTTTACCTTTTTAACAGAGCTTAGGGAAGGAACAACAACCAAAAAGAAAGGGTTAAGTAACTACTGGCTGCCAATGTTTCTCTGCTGAAAATCCTAGAACAGATTTTGTTACCTGTGTTTGTATATAATGCTTAGTTAGCCCTTTAGAGAGAGAAGATCAGGCATGTGCATTAGTTATTAGACAGTCCCAACATCTTGAGTGTTTATTTACAATCTGCATACAAACATCATCCAACATAAATATCAATGGCACAGCAGTTCAGCCAACCCTTACTTCCTATTGCAATATGAGATGGATTGATTCAATAAAGGAAGCCACAGTCCTCCGTTTGCAAGACCTGAGCATGGCTGTTAAGGACAGGACATTCTGGAGGTCATTAATTCAAAGAGTCACTATAAGTAAAAGGCAACTTGACAGCACTTAACACACACACACACACACATTACCTTTTGTGGCAATATACAGCAAAGGCCAAGAATTAACTGGGTAAGGTTGTTCATTGGTACATAGGATAGTGACCATCTTTAACTGAGGGCAATATAGGGACAGGGTTGTCAATAATGTAAAAAATGCAAATCCTGGTATATCCCAGCCACCTGGAAGTTGACTGGAAATCTCTGAAAGAGAGCCGCTCCAGAGCCTTGACAGTTTGCCCTTTGGCAATCAGTATCTGGCTAGGGTGAACACAGAATGCTGCTGAAATCCTGGCTGTGAGCCTGGATCAGGCTGCACATAATTGTTGTCCGGGGAAAAGCACTGTCCCACCTCAATAAAAGGGGGAAAGTTGTTAACTTGAGGGTTGATTTGTACAACATTGCAGACTGTTGATAATACCGCATAATGTTAACTTGAGGGTTGATTTGTGCAACATTGCAGACTGTTGATAATACCGCAGTTACTATTTCTTGTCTTCTTTTAGAGGCAAGGGGAAATTCTTTAAAAGTCAGCTCTGTGTGTGTGTGTGTGTGTGTGTGTGTGTGTGTGTGTGTGTGTGCGCGTGCTTGCGGGTGTGCATTATTACAGGGCCAGCATCAAGGAGCGACAAGTCATGTAGCTGTCAGGGTCCCTGGAGTCCCCGCTGCTTGCTCGCTCACTTGAATGAGTAAGTAGATAGCAATGACATCTGGAAGTAGCTGTCACCCACTCATCTGTCCCTCATCCTCTGGACAAGGGGTAACAGGAAGAGTGGGTGCAACTCTTTCCTGGTCCTTTTAGTAATGTCTGACACTGGTACTTTTGAAATTGCTGGCACAGAGGGAAAGGAGGACCAAAGTAGGGTTCAATGTGGTAACATGTGGATCAAATCCCTCAGATTCTATTGGCCTAATCTGACTCTCATTAAACAAGTAGTTCTCTCTCAAATTCTTTCTGCTTAAAGAGGGAGAAGTCATAACTAGGTCAGAGGTAATTTTAATTTCAGGGAGATCAAAATAGAGAACAGGTTAATTATTAAAGTATATTTCCTCTCAGTGTAAATGCACATACAGATTTTTTAAATTTGTTTTGTTTTGGCTAAAACGCACCTTGCTCCAATTCCAGTTCCTTAAAGGCATCTTGGACCTCATCTGGGATTCCTCCAAGGTAGACTGGAGAATTTACAATCAGCTCTTCTAAACCGGGTTCCACCACCTGCTCTGTCAGTTCATTCACACTTGCTGAAACTACCAATCCTTCTTTTTTCAGAACAACCTTTTTCCATTTTCCATCACAATAGGACAATCCTAACCAGAGATTCACATGTGTAGAGACAAAGTTGATTTTTAGCAGAAAGCTTAGGATTCCACTTTTCAGTTCTGCCTGTAGTTTTGAAGTTAAAACAGAAAAAAGGACTGTTGGAAAAGGAAAAGAAACATGTAGCATGCATTTAAACAATTCAGCCAAAGTACAGATTATAAAACATATTCATCCAAGCCATAGAGGGGAGCACTGGTTCTACAAAATAAAGTACATAAAATGGAGTTCCATTTACTGTAACTGTTGCTCACCGAGTGTCTTCTGTGCAGGCCCACCCTGGGACTGTGTCAGTGTGGGCCAGCTATGGAGAAGATCTTTCTAGCATTAACAGACTGAAAGACACTCCTCTCCCTGGCATGCATGGCAACATTTTCCCATCAAAAACGTCACACACCATAAGGGAGGAGCACCATTTCCTTCAGTCCTCCTAAACCATTGGAGACTTCAGGAAACATAAAAGAGAGCTCACAATGGGGCAAGAGAGAGGGAATATGTGTCTGCAAAGAAGATACTTTTTTTATTAAGCCCCCGGAGGGGATTTTTTAATTGATTTTTTTAACACTACAAAACTACAACAGAAAAAGGGAGGGGGGAAACTTCATATAAAGGAGAAAGTAAAGAACCCACTACTGACTAAAAACCCAAGAGAGGAGACCCTACAACTAGCTTTCTGCATCCAGTCTTTTTATCTTTGTACTTCTTATGAACTGTGTCAGACTTTTAAAACTTTTAACCCTCCCCGTTTACATTTAGTTGCCCAGTAACAGTGCCCCCCATCATCCCCAGGAACCAAAGTTCTCAAAGGCACAATTCAGAGACCTTCAGCCTTAACTTCTTCTTCTCTCTTTTCCGCAGCTTGTAGGGACCAAAGAAGATACTTGATGAACAAGTTAGAGGTAAGTGCAACCCTGCATTTTCTGTGCAGTCCCACATTGGGAGATTAACAAGCTACTTATCAACAGTGGTGGGAGTAAGCCCCTAATTTAAAGAAAGAATGCAATGCAGTCTTTCCAGTTGCTGACTGTTGCTTGGAATTTGTGTCCACAGCATAGTGATGAATGAAGGTGCATAATAATAACAACAACAACAACAACAATTTATACTACAGTTTTCTCTAGCCTAAGGAGTCTCAGGTGGTGGTCACACGTGCGAGATAATGCAGGGGGGGAACAAGGCTATTTCCTCCGGAGGAATTTGACCCACAGTTGCACGATCACACAGTCCTTTGAAGCTGTGGGGGCAGCCCGTCACTGCGTGGTCAGATGCAACCGCGGGTGAGTTGTTTGTGGGTTTTTTGCCATTTGTTCCCAATGCACTTAAACGGGGAATCAATTAATCGCATCTCGGCACTGAGGGCTCCCTATGGAGTGTGCGATGATGCGCATACTGAGAAGGGGGGCAACAATGGCATGGAGTCAGGATGGCCTGATCAGACCATCCCGATGCCATGAGAGCACGCTGCAGCAATCAGACGGGAAAGTCTGTCCGTGGCCTGTAGCAACCCGTTTGCTACTGGACTTTCCCTGGTGTCTTTTTACTCCACTTCTGTGGCAGAGCAAAATGGGTTGCTGATGGGTGCGGGACGCTTCCCAGATGTTTGTGTCTAATTGCGCCCTTTAAATCTGCCCGGCATTCACGCCTATGGTGCAGCTAATTGTGCATGTGATCGCTTCCCGCAAGTGGCTTACAATTGCCTTCCCTTCCTCTCTCCACAACAGACACCCTGTGAGGTAGGTGGGGCTGAGAGAGAACAGCTTTGAGAGAACTGTGACTAGTCCAAGGTCACCCAGCAGGCTTCATGTGGAGCAGTGGGGAATCAAACCCAGTTCTCCAGATTAGAGTCTGCCACTCTTAACCACTACACCATCTTGGAGGAGGATCATGTAGCAACTCTGAAGACATTCAACAGAGGATCCTTCAGATCCAAAACAGTAAACCATAAATTTAAGTGTAACAACTGCAACACCATCGCAAGAGAAACCATATGAATTTTTTTTAACAGTAAGAAAATTGTTCAACTGACAGACATATAAAATAGGCCCATTTCCACTTACTTTTTTGGACTCCAGGAAGTATCTGGAATAAAAGTAGGCTTGCCAGGTGCTTCCTGGCAACTGGTGGAGAAGGGGGGGACTTACAAGGACAGAGTGGGAGGGTTGGATGACCTCGCCAGTGATATCACTTTTGAGGCATGCACAGGAAGTTGTGATATCTCTGCAATGCATGCATGTTGTGATGTTTTGGCGATGCTCTGGTATTTAGGCAAAAATTATGTGGTAAAAATGGTTTCTACCATAGAGTTTTTGCCCAAATTCCAGAGAATTGCCCAGCTATCTTCAGTGTGATGACATCACTTCCTGTGCATGATGGAAGTGACATCACCACACCACTGGCTGCATCACCTCAGCCTTCCTTTTTATCCTGTTAAGTCACTTCACTGGCCAGCTGATCAGCAGTGGGGGCAGGGCCTCATGGAAGGGGACCCCACGTCCATGGGGAGGGGCTTGCAACCCTAAATAGAAGCCATTGGTTAAGTTAGACACAGGGATCTGTTGGACAGCTCCTTTAGATAAAAGGTTCCACAATGCCTGAAGCAAACAGTCAGGGCACTCCAGTCTCCAGTGGTAAGGCAGGCCCAGTGGCAGCTTCTCTAAGAATTCTAATCTGTAGCCTTCTTGGATAGCAGAATGCCCCCAAGAGTCAGAAATAATTTATTGCAATTGGGGAAAAATAGGTCCAGCTTCTCTACAAAGAAGGGGGGAAATTGGTCCAATTGCAATTGTAGTGAGAAAAGGGATTTTTAACTATGGGGATTCTGGGATTCAGGATGTTTGGTTTTGAGCCTAGGTGCTTGTTGCCTACCCTGTGGTGGAGGAGGGGAATAAGAACACTGTAATGAATGATGATGAGGATAACTGTGATCCCTCTGATGAGCCTGGTGATATTGCTGTCTGGTTAGGAAGTGCTGTCTAACTGGCTGTGGAGCAGGTGTAGTCATGCTGAGAGACTTGACAGTTTCCTTATGTTTCTTGATCTAAGCCAAGGTCATAACAGTTTATGCTGAGAAAAGCTGAGAGCCTTCAAAAGGTAAGTCTTCCACCTTAGAATGAGTCTCAGGAAACAAATCAGCAGATCACAGTCAAGCTGGGAGTGATGGCAGAAGCTATGGAACGGGCCAAGCAACTAGCGGCATGATGGCTAGCAGTCATCTGCTGCTTTGACAGTTTTTACCAGCTTTGGCCTGCAGAACCTTAGCCAAAGCACCCTTGTCCTCAGGAATCAGCTCAAGGACGAAGGACTCTCCCAGGCTGATGTCAACAGAATCTTGGGTGTTGTTAGGCCAACCACTTGCCTCCTGGATCCTCAAAGCTGGTGAAGGCCAGCAGCGAAAGGTTACGAAGTCCCCACAGAGATATCATCAATCTGTCCCTGGGCTCTGGGACCTTTCACGAGGGACTGAAGGAGGTGGTGGTTGTTCCACTCTTGAAAAAACCAAACTCAGATCCTATGGATCTGACCAATTACCACCCAGTCTCAAACCTCTCGTTTCTGGGTACGGTAACTGAAAGAGCGGCGGCTGAACAGCTCCAGAAATTTCTGGATGATGCATTGGTGTTAGATCTATTTCAATCAGACTTCCACCCTGGCCACGGGATGGAGACTGCATTGGTTGCCCTCACAGATGATCTCCACAGACAGCAGGATCGAAGTGGGTCAGCACTGCTGATACTACTTGATCTTACAGCAGTGTTTGACACAGTCGATCATGACTTGTTCACTCACTGCCTCACTGACACTGGAATTTGTGGGGCAGCCTTGCAGTGGCTTATCTTATTTCTCCATGGTCAGGGACAGAGGGTGGTGCTGGGGGGGATAGTGTCCGCAAGGTACCCACTTGAATGTGGGGTGCCTCAAGGGGTGCTTCTCTCCCCAATGTTGTTTAACTTCTATAAGAACATAAGAGAAGCCAATGTTGGATCAGGCCAATGGCCCATCTAGTCCAACACTCTGTCACACAGTGGCCAAAAATACCAGGTGCCATCAGGAGGTCCAGCAGTGGGGCCAGGACACTAGAAGGCCTCCCATTGTTAACCCCCCAGCACCAAGAATACAGAGCATCACTTGCCCCAGCCTGAGAGTTCCTATCTATACCTTGTGGCTAATAGCCACTGATGGACTTCTGCTCCATATGCTTATCTAATTCCATCTTGAAGCTGTCCATGCTTGTATCCACCACCACCTCTCGTGGCAGTGAATTCCATGTGTTAATCACTCTTTGGGTGAAGAAGTACTTCCTTTTATCCGTTCTAACCCGACCGCTCAGCAATTTCATGGAGTGCCCACGAGTTCTTGTATTGTGAGAAAGGGAGAAAATCTATATGCACCCCCTTGCCCAGCTAGTGCAGAATGTTGGGTTGGAATGCCATTAGTATGCTGATGACACCCAGCTGTTTCTGTTGAAGTTTGGGTGTGACCTTGGACTTTTCTCTATCTATGGAGGCTCAGGTTGTGAAGGTTGCCAGCCAGGCGTTTTTCCAACTTCACCAGGTTAGGCAGCTGGCTCCCTACCTGTCTTGCCCTGACCTAGCTATGCTAATCCATGCAACAGTCACCTCCAGGTTAGACTACTGTAATTCACTCTACATGGGCCTGCCCTTGCACCTGACCCAGAAGCTCCAACTGGTCCAAAACGTAGCTGCGTGGGTCCTTACGGGGACTCTGCAGATGGCACATATTCAACCAGTGCTGTGTGAGCTGCATTGGCTTCCAGTGGAACACCAGATCAGGTTCAAGGTTTTGGTTTTAACCTTTAAAGCCCTTAGCGGTCAAGGACCTACATATCTTCGGGACCGCCTCTCCCTGTATGCCCCTGGAAGAGTGTTACACTCAGGAAAAAAGAACTTCCTGGTGGTCCCTGGCCTGGGAGAAGTCCGGCTGTCCTTGACCAGGGCCAGGGCTTTTTCAGCCCTGGCCCCTGCCTTGTGGAATGTTCTGCTGGAAGACATCCATGCCTTGCGGGAGTTGTTACCATTCTGCAGGGCATGCAAGGCAGAGATGT